ACAGAAATTGTTTCCCTGATCAATGTAACTAAGGACTCTGATATCAAAACACATTTTGCTCTGTTTAAAAACACAATTAACAGAAGCCAGTAAAACAAGATAATGTGTAAAAGTCCTGAGGTGTATAATCTCAATGAAAGCTCTGTAACTTTAGCCTGACCCTAAAAATATCTGTCCAAGGCATTACCATTCCCATTCTTTCAGAGCACGGATGGTCTTTACTTCCAGAAAACTACTTCTGACTCTCACCAATTTTCTGTTTCTGCAGGCTTATTTTCTGTCATCTCCCTGAGCATACATATACACATACATAATTGCTCTTTTTTAGTTTTACAAAGAATTAATATTGCAGCTATCACCTACTGATTTCTTTCTTCAATTGTTAGATCCACAACTGTCATTTGTGGCTAACCTTAAAGGCAATATTGCATGACACCTTACCATTAAGTGGCTGGCAGAACTACTCTGAAGCGGGCTTCTGACATTCTGCACAAACCATTTTGGAACTGGACTCTTATTTCCCTGGTTTGGGAATTACTGAACTCCGGGGCACTTGTTCCCAATGCAAGGTGAAGTAGTTTAGTATTGCAAGCAGTTTTTTAGCATCACACCAATTAAAAAAAAAAAAAAAAAAATCTAAACTCGGGTGGAAGAGAACTGACAAGTCACAGGAAACTCTTATTAAAATCTCAAGGAGCAAGATCCTTTTCCTGTCAGGCTATAAGCAATGGCAGTAAACAAACCCACATTTCTTAAAATGCAGTACATGTTGTTTAAAAACAAACTAATCTCCTCGTTACTATTTATAAAAAACCTAATGAAACCTGAAAGTGTGCTCAAGCAAACGTACAGAAATTTAGAGGAGATACGGAAGTGGATTTTTAACAATTCATGGAAATTGTCTAAATTAACTACCTCAGTTTTTCTTTATTATCAAAGTTGGTTATGAAATACATTAAAAATCTCCAACATTTTATTCAAGATTCTGCATTACAGAATAGCAATAAATTAACCTTATGCTATAGAGAGATGGGTTGAATGGTTTGGACTACTTTATTTCACACCACATTTCACATCTATTAAGCTGTGGTAAGTCTCAATTTTAAGGAGAGAAGGGTGAGAGGGGGAAGAACCTAGTTCCCATGTTAGGCAGATTTCATAATTTAAATAACATGAAGGAAAACTGTTCTGCTTCTAATGTACAATAATTTTAACCAGTCTTTATGGAGAAAATAAAAACAGAACTAGCAACCTAACTGACTAAAGAAATGCACCAACTCTGACATAAATATAAAACACAATTTTATTAATGTGTCCTGGTTTCAGCTGGGAGAGTTAATTTTTTTTTCTTATGGAAGAATTATTTTTCCATTATGCTTTACAATAGATTACTTTTTTAATTTATTATCTAAGAAACATACTCTACTTAGCATTCATGCCAAATCACGTCTAAAGCTCACAAAGTTACAAGAAAAACAATGCTGCAAAGCAACAGCCTGAGAATGCAGAAGTTTCAACTTAAATCTGAGATTAACATCTTATTTTCTACCCCAAATATTTAAAAAACAAACAAAACCCCAAAAACCTATAAAAGGATAAAAGCATGAACAAGTATTCTACCTTAAAGTGTGCATCCTCATACTCAGATTCCCACAGCCACTCTACATTTTTGGGAAACTCTTCTTCACTGCTATCATGCAGCTCTTGATTAAAAAGATGCCAAAACACTACACGAGTTCAAATGCCACATAGGGAAAAACTTCTGAAGATATAGTTACAACCCCAATGTTGCAATCTAAGAAAACAGTTCACTTACTATTTCAATCTATTCTTTGTACAGCTAGGGGAATAAAGTTACGACTCCAATCAAAAAGACTTTGGCTACTGACTTTTCTTTGGTTGGTTTTTAAGTGAACATTCTGTTCTTTTAATTGCAGTTTGCTTTAAACTTGATACTAATTCTAACTCCTTTTGACAAAATTTACTTTCCACAAGAACTGACCAGGCATGAAGAGGGTTTACCTAAGCCAAAGGTTCCACCTGCCATTTACTGAAAACAGCCTTAAGAATATTACAGAAAGACAGCCAGATATCTTTGATCAAAGCCAAAGCTAACATGAATTCTTAGAAAATGCAGGGATGTAAATAAGAAGCTGTGAAATACAAATTCAAGTATTTGCCTAAGGTAACTTTCTTTGTTATACTGACTGAAGACAGCAGCCCATTTTTCCTAAGATTTCAAATACAAAACCTAAGTATTTTTAAAAATCTAAATCCCCAGTTACTGCAAATGCATGAAATGCATTTGAAAGTGTAATGTCTTCCTTCAGTTTTGGAACATTTGATCGAATCCTAACATTTTTTTCCAACAAAAACACAGCCAGCTGAAGTAAACAGGTAAATGCTAAGCATAATAGAATACCCTTTTTTTTGACCAATAACTAGTACAGCAGATCATTTACTGCAAATCAGAGTAATTTCTATAGTTATTTTTTAAAAATGGCTAAAAGCCATAAAAACAGATGAGGACTTAATGCAGTGAATTGGAAAGTCAAAAAAACTTTCCTGAAGGACACTATAAACAACTGGTTCAGCAAAATGGCATAATGAATTCTCTCTGCTATTTCAAAATGTTCAGTAATTGATCATTGTGAAAAAGAACATAACTGATGTGAAAAAGAAGAACATATAATTTGATTTTTCAGGGTAATGTTTAAAACCATACCATTACTTAGCACTGATTTAAGAACTCACTAACACTGTGGTACCTAAAATGGATTTTTTAAATTGAAAAATATTTTGATGTTATATTAAAAAATTACACAGAAAAATCTACTATATTGGTGCTATTAAAATACAAATTCCCATTATCCTAAATTTCAAGAAGCTTCTACCCGACTCATGTTTTCTTGTGAAATCCCTATCATAAAATAAACAGCTGGTAGGACCAGAGAGAGTAGAGTAGGAATTTGGCACTGAGGAAATCTGAAGACAACTTTTGTGTTCATGGTAACAAACCAGACATTTTTTTACGGGAAGAGCTCCAAAAAATTTATTACACTCAGGAATTACTGCTTTGTTCAGGACTAACTGCTCTTGCTTCAGGGTCATTGTTTCTATTGCATTCTTTTTGAATGGGTCCAATTTTCATCTCTGCATTTCAATCGCCATTTTAGGACAACCCTTGTGTCCTAAAGACAGAGAAGCCATGCCCTCTCAGTATCACCTTTTACTCCTTTATTGGCTAAGAAATGTCACCGGTTAAGTTGAAGGAGTCATCAGTTTAAGACCTGTATTTTGTCTGACTGTAGGCAAAACTTCAGCTTCTCAAGAAACCCCTAACATTCAGCTGCAGACGCCTCTTCATGTGCCTGATGTAAACCAGAGCGATGCATCAGAACAAAGTAATTTAATGAATAAAAGGTGACTAAAATGTCCCAAACAGAATAAAACAGCCTTCCCATTGTAGCTTTGTGATCTTAAGTTCAGCGAAGAAAACTAAAAAAAACAACTTTATTAATGAATGACACTATGAGTCTTCCATAACCATTATATGGTAAAATGACAAGTATTGTTTGGCTTCTGCTAGTGAGTACTTCATGATATGCTTTAAAAATTGTGTGCTCTCTGAGGCTATAGAGACCCTCAGAAGGACAGGCTACTTCCTAAACCTTTTTTTGTCCACACGCTAGGGGGATTTCTGCCTCTTAAAAGGAATTAGCAGAAAGTCCTTTAAGTAAACTATTGTAAGGACTATATTATAGAAGTACTGGTGTACAGTCTGCATAATCTCCTTTAACGGTATTTAAGGCTAATCAGACATACACCATTTGGGATTGGGATTGGTATCTTCCATTCTGCTTCAAAACAAGCAATCAAAGTAGCTTTTTCTTGAGACTACAAAAAATATGACCACCTCTCTGTCCTACTACTTCACATTTTTATATTTAAATTCACAAGTTTTCTACTACTTGACTTCTGCTCACTTATTAAACTGTGACTTTGCCAAATTCTTCATTTTGTATCAACCAGCACTGTATTTGATACAGCTATTCTACATTCAACTTCTAAAACATGTACAGATTACACAATAACTTCACAGACTCTCACGGGGCATAATCCACTTCCTGCTGAAGTCCACAACATGAACCTACTGATTTTGCAAGTGCACCCAGAGCTCTCCAAAGCCATGATTTCTACTAGAAATTTATCACTGGAAATAATTATTTCTTGTCTCCAGTGAGCTGTATGTAATTTTCAGAAGAAAGCTCATAAAGCAAGGAGATTCATTCTTCTACACTGACAAAGCCTAAAGCTGTAAAACCAAATACCCAAGCCATAAAAACAATAAAGACTACTTGAACCTGTCACAGGCTATTATCCCCTTCCTATGAATAAAAATACTTAAAAGAGCAAAATACAAATCTTTTCTTCCACAAGAGGCTGAAAGAGCCAAGGGGGAAAGTAGTCTGTGTTAGGCTCATTGAACAGTGCTTATGTATTTTACAGTTAGCTTTAAATATGGCAGAGTAGGTTATAATCCAACTTTCTGTTCCCACATATAGTCCCTGAACAAGAGAGTGATTTCCACTGGAAATGATGCATTAACAAGAAGCCTGTGAAAATGATGAGATACTGAGGAGGTCCATATCTGTTACAAAACAATATAAATTATATTACCAGCTGTAATTAGGTAAACCACAACCATTTTCAGCATGCTTTACCACTATAATTGATTCTCTTCTCTAAAAGACCAACTTTTATTGGTACAAGCACTAACACGTCCTTACCTTTTTGTACCTCCTGTAATAAACTAAGAATTCAGTATTTTAATTCCAATTGAGCTACAAACTCAGATAGTGTTAAAAACAAATTACAAAAAAAAAAAACCAACACCTTCAAAGTTATTACTAAAAAATAAGAGTAGCAGAATAAGATCTATACGATAATTCCATCAGTATTATCAAATCTTACAGAAATAAATAAGTTAGTATACATACTTTTCTGCCTGGAGCTTTGTGGTTTTTACTATCAAGTCCTGGGTTTGCTCCTTTGCTGCCTAGAATACAATTAGAACCATTAAGTATGTGAAAACCACAAACATATCAGATGTATTACACAACCCTTAAAATATGTAATACTTTTGAAGCTTTCTGACCATAAGGCCTTCTTGAACGAAGTATTCATTAACTCTATCTATTTTCAGGCATGAAAATATACTTGTCCATATATATTTTCATCTCTTCATAGATTTATATTCACGTACCATTGATTAATTTAACACAAAAATATTATTATAAACATTGGAAATTGTTCTGATTAACTTGTTTGTCTGTTGACTACAAATTGTTTGCTGTTACAAACTGGAAAATGAAACAAGTTCCTTCAGATGCTAAACCACCCAGTACCACTGTTCATTCAGACATTCTTAAATGAATACAGCTCTGCTGGTCTAAGCAAGTTTAGCTCCACGGTCCAAACAGCTTAGAGGGCTGTTACAGGGCTGTAAGGACCAAGAAGGATTATTAGGAAAAATTTCTTCACCAAAAGGGCTGTCAAATATTGGAATAGGCTGCCCAGGCAAGTGGTGGAGTCACCATCACTGGTGTACATGTAGATGTGGTGCTTAGAGACATGGTTTAGTGGTGGACTTGGGAGTGACAGGTTAACAGTTGGACTCAATGATCTTAAAGGTCTTTTCCAACCTAAACTATTCTATCAGGTTTTCCAATCTAAAACATTCTATGTGATGAACATTCAGTTCATCACAGTACTAAATGTTCAATTATGACAATGTAAGGGAGCCCATGCAGAAACAATTTTGTTACAGATAGAAGGCATGACTAAGGGGATTGCTGCAACTGAAGTTAAAGAGTTCTGAAACTTATCACTCTGAAAGGAGATAAAAGACATCAGGAGTTGTCTTCCCACTAGATACCACCAGTGACCATTTAGACAGAAAAATAATAAGATTTAACCAAACAAAAAATACTGAAATCAAAACACATTCAGCATGGAATAATACTGCAAGTGAAGAGGTGGAAACAGCTATAAAGATATTCTGCATGAATAATTTCACTAAATTATGGTGTTTGCCAAAATGAAGATGCCAGTCTTGAAACCCGTGAGATGTCTAATGCAAGAATATACACACACTGATTCACTTCAGCCTTTCTATCTGTCACACTTCATTAGTTACAGTGGAAAAGCAGTCAAGGTACAGGAACGCTTTGAAAGGTGAAAGTAGAACTGCAACCACTCAAGTACAACTCTGGTCATCAGAAGGAGCCTGAGCTGTTCCATGAACATAGACAGTGGGCACCACTAAGGTGCATTTGCTGAATTTTCTAAAGGAAACTATTTTGGACTTGCATGCAAATTTGATAAAAACTCAACAGAATTTACTGAACATTTAGTAGTTCCAAAATACTTTACCTTTAAGCTTTTAATATCTTATATAAATTGTAATATTGGTGGTTTTTAATGTATTTGTATTTTAAACTCATTTTTTAATATTTTCAATGCTTCAGCCTAACAAAAAAAGACTTACAACAAAAGAGCAGACCTGAACAATTCAGTACGTAAGCCTACTAATTCCAGACTGGTTTCTTCCCCCTCTTCCTTCAGAGTTGTAGATTTTAATAAACCAGAAAGACAGAAGAAATTTGCTTCCTTTCCAGTACTTTCTGGACAGAAGTACTGATTGCCAAGAAGAATGCTAACTGTAGGACAGCAGTAATGAAGGAAAAGCAGGATTTTTTAGATCTAGCTAAATATCAGGAAGCCGGTTTTTATTTCCATGCATTCAAATGCAGGCCAGATACTGTTGTTATTGTACCTATGTGATGCAGGAGCTTACATCGAATCAAAACACGGTAACTGGTAGAAAAGAGTCAGATAAGCCAAACAAAAAAAAACCAGAAGGCTGGTATTTGAAGTTTCTTGCAGATCCAAAATAGAAATATTTTTCTCTTCCTTCCCACCTCAGTATACTAATTAAAACCTGCATTATCCTTCAACCTTTCTTTATTCCATTGCAGCACTTGCTTCCTTCTCTCCCTTTCACTGCATTTATTAAGTCATTGTCCTGAAATCAGATCTGACTGGTTATTTGGATTGCATGATATTATAAACTTATAAAACAAAAAAAGGTTAAAAGCTTTTTGGCTTATCAATATATAATCCCTTTCATATCTTGTATTTTTTCTGCTCTCTTAATACACCGCTGTCTTAGCACACCTTTCTGCCTTACATGCTATAGATTCTTGTCTTTGCATCTTCTATTTGCTCTAGTTAATTCATTTTTGTCTTCTCATTCAGCCTGAGCACATGCCTCCAAGTCTTCATGTTCTATTACAGATAAAATACCAGAGTATTTAACAACCTAGTGCTAGTTCATGGGCTTCTTAACTTACACTCATGCAGACATAGAAAACATGGGTTGAACTGATACAAGTTACAAGTTCTGCAGGGCTGTAGAGGAAATCTCCTGCAGGGCACACAACAAAAGTACCTACTGACTTTAACAGAAAATCACTGCAGGGTGGCTCTACTCTGGAAAAATATAATCACAGATGATAGTTACAATTCATGATCTGAAGACAGACAAGCGTAAAAATCTGCGTGGACGCTTGACTCATTTCCACATTTAAGAGTTCAACCAAATAGTTCCTGAACTGCACTAGGGAACACAACCACATTAACAATGTTCAAAGAGATCTGAGACCTCTGAGGTGCCTTATCTATTGCCACCACAACTGAAAATTGAGTACGGCAGAGAGCTACACTATACACTCACCGTTTCCGGAAAAAGTTCATCAAACTACAATCATTCTCATGGGAATTATAGACAATGGCTATGAAACCTATTCATCTAAGTAGGAGGACACCTAATGTACCCACACACACATAAGGAGGGGAAAAAACAACTGTTGTCACAGGATTTTTTACTGAAGGATTCTCATTCACATGCTACAGCTTATGTGCTATATTCAGAACAGATTTGCTTTAGCAAAACATCCATACTTCAGTATACATAAACCTTGTACACTAAACCCAAGCCAGATTTAGTAACACATTCTAAAACACAACTTGTCATGTCCCCGTTCCCCCCCCCCCCAAATGCTGTGGATTCAGGATTAATATGGAACAGAATTGTTTTTGTTGCGTATCAACATACTGACACACTAGACTTGTCTCCCTCTTTGGATGATACTTTCTTATGAATATAATTGAAGTATTTATATGAACACATAACACAAGAGAGGTTGTCAGTATGAAAGGTACACAAATTTTAAATTTAAATACACAAATGTAAGTAAACGTTTGGTCTCGCACACATCCAATCTAATAAAATATTTTCTCTCCACTCCTGAAATGGATTTCACACCACTATTCTCAAAATAAGTATATTGCTGCATACTGAAGTGCAATTTGGAAGAAATTAACACATTTTCTAAACAAGTAAAAAGAAACCAATTAATGTCCTAAAGTAATATAACACACATACTGTGGAAACATCTTGGTATCACTGTTAGTACTTCAACTTTTAAAAGAAAATAGTTGCATGTCAAAACAAAACATACACAAAGAACATCTACTCATATATTACCTTCAAACGACTGGACATATCTTCACAGCAGCTGCTCATCGCTTGTACATCTTCATTTATACTCTCAAGCTCCTAAATAATAGTAACTGTGATTTAAATCAGAAATGCCATGCCTAGGCCGAGCTTCATCCCACCAAAACAAGATGCCCAAGCTATAAGGAACAGATTTGCTCTAGACTCCCTGTTAATGGAGAGAATGCACCTCTAAAGATCAACATGCACCTGGGACCTTAATCTGAAACATCATCTCTCTCTGCGCAAGACTTTTCATCAAATGAAATAAATTGTGAAATGGTTTTATTGTAAAAGTACATTTGTCCTGGAAAGTCAAAATCTCTCTTAAATCTTTTTTTCTTTGTTTAAACTTTAAATTACATAGCAGCACTCTTGCAAGACAGCTAGTCACACTGTAAAAAATGCTACCTCTTTAACTTGCTTGAAAATGTGAACAAATTCTTCATTTATGGCTAAGCTTCGTCGTTCAATGTCTCCACGCAAGTTTCTTCGGGTGCGCAAACTGTTTTCAACAAAAAAGGTCGAGAGAGCCTTGAGCGCTTCCAGCATTTCCTAGAAAATAAACCAAAAAACACTTAAACTTTCCATACAGTTACAAAGAAGTTGGTTACATTGTGTGCAACCATCCCAAACCCATGGTCTCATTAAAAAAACCCAAACAACACTATTACTGGGTTTAGACAAAGAACTAACTAAACACAATCCACATCAGTTCATAAACAAGTAAAATAACTGCTGAGTCTTTCTTATTATTTAATCAACTAGGTTGGAAAAGACCTTTAAGATCATCAAGTCCAACCATTTCCCCAGGACTGCCAAGACCACCACTAAACTACGCCACTGAGGGCCTCATCTACACAGTCATGAACACTTCCATGTTGTCCACCACTTTCCTGGGCAGCCTGTTCCAATACCTGATTACCTCTCTGTGAAGAGATTTTTTGTAATATCCAATTTTTTTGTAATATCCAAAGAATATATTTGCATGTTATAACACAAAACTTTTGACTACTATTTTATAATAACCTTCATCAGTAAGATCACATTCGGTTAAAGCATGAGCTAACCACAGTTACAAAATATTTAAACCAAATAAGCCTGACACCCACGCCTGAGCTAAGCAATACAAACCTCCCTCCGATCCGAGGGGATCGGGCAGGTACTTGGCATGTCAGCGGAGCAGCAGAAATGAACCCGACTGCTAACGAACGCCGCAAACGTCAGGCTGCGCCTCCGCAGCGGAACTGAGGGTACGACCGGGCTCGCTTCCCAGCCCCGGAGCCTATCGGGGCTCGCTGCCCCTGACGGCTCATCCGGCCGATTCGCCGCAGGACGCTCCCCGCCGGGCAGGCCCCGCTCCCCGCCTCGCCCCTCAGCCGCACGCGCCCCACCTTGTCGTTCTCCAAGCGGGTCTCCAGGATCTTGTTGAGCTTGCGGGACAGGGGGTTGCTGCCAGGGGCAGCCGGCAGCCCCGGACTGGGGACGGCGGGCAGCTGCGGCGCGGCGGTATCGGCCATGGCTACCCCAGCGCCGCGGCGATGGACCGGCTCCGGCGGAAACGCGATCCTAAGGCTTTGGTTCCGGCCTGGCGAAAGGCGCCGGCCCGCGGCCGTTGAGTGCGAGGAGGTTGGATCGCTGGTACAGGTGGCATTCGGGGGACTAAATAAATCATTTTGAAATGGTGATAAGAAAGAGGGTTCGCTTCCTGAGGTCGGATAGCTGTGGTTTGTGTTCAGTTCTGAGCCCCTTAATACAAGAGAGATACTGAGTTGCTGGAGTGGGTCCTGAGAAGGGCAGTGAAGGTGGTGAAGAGTCTAGAGAACAAGTCTGATAAGGAATGGCTAAGGGGCTGGGGTTGTTTAGTCTGGAGGAGAGAAGGCTCAGCGGAAACCTTATCGGTCTCTACAGCTACCTGATAGGAGGTTGTAATAAGGTGGGGGTTGGTCTCCCCAGTAACAAATCATAGGACAAGAGGTAACAGCCTCAAGCTGCACCAGAGGAGGTTTAGATTGGATATTAGGAAAAATTTCTTACAGAGAGGGTGCTCAGGCACTGGAACAGGCTGCCCAGGGAAGTGGTGGAATCACCATCCCTGGAAGTGTTAAACTGTGTAGAGGAGGCTCTTAGTGACCTGGTGGACTTGGCATTCATGGGGTATTGGTTGGACTTGATGATCTTAGAGGTCTTTCCAACCTGGTTGATTCCGTGATTCTGCGATTTAATGCATGAAATAAATGCTTTTGTTACAATCATAACTAAAAAGGAAAAATAAATGACTCTGAAAGTATTCAAGGCCAGGTTGAACGGGGTTTGAGCAACCTGGTCTAGTGGAAAGTGTCCCTGCCTGTGGCAGGGGAGCTGAAACTAGATGATCTTTAAGGTCCCCCCCAACCCAAATCATTTTGATTCTTTACTGCAGAAGCTAATAGCAATGACAGGAAAAACGTGTCAAAATGAGGAGGGTGTCTTGTTTTGGCTGTGCATTTACTGCCACAGAGGTTCTACCTCTGAGGTCTCCTTGGGGATTAAGAGTAGCAGAGCTGCCTTTCACCATGGTGCAGAGATGTGGCTCCATGAACCAGGGTCGTGGTGGTATCCACATCCCCTGCCATAGTAGCATCAGCCTCCACACCCCAGGACAGCCTGGACAGAGGCCTGCAGCCTTGCCACTCTAATGGTTTGGCGCAAACATCCCCTGGAGCCTGGCTGCATGTCCCGCTTTTGTGCTGCAGCCATGACATGTCCCATCTCAAGCACTGAGGTGCAATGAAGGGATATCTGTGAGCGTTTCCAAAGGACGAAAACCTGATATGCAGATGAAGGCCAGATGCCATGGAAAAAATTATAGAATCATAGATTGGTCAGAGCTGGAAAGGATCTTAAGACCATCTAGTTCCAACCCCCCTGCCATGGGCAGGGACATCTCACACTAAACCATGTTGCCAAAGGTTCTGTCCAACCTGGCCTTGAAAACTGCCAGGGATGAAGCATTTACCATTTCTTCAGGCAACCCATTCCAGTGCCTCACCACCCTCACAGTAAAGAACTTCTTCCTTACATCTAATGTGAACTTCCCCTGTTTTAAGTTTGAATCCATTACCCCTTGTCCTATTGCTACAGTCCCCTTACTCTCCAGCATCCTTATAGGCCCCTTTCAGATACAGGAAGGCTGTATCTGAAAGTAAAGATACAGCCTTTAAGTAAAGAACTTCTTCCTTATATCTAACAGTAAAGAACTGTAGTTCTTTAGTAAAGAGCTCACAGTAAAGAACTTCTTCCTTATATCTAACCTGAACTTCCCCTGTTTTAAGTTTGAATCCATTACCCCTTGTCCTATCGCTACAGTCCCCTTACTCTCCAGCATCCTTATAGGCCCCTTTCAGGTACAGGAAGGCGGCTATGAGGCCTCCATGCAGCCTTCTCTTCTCCAGGCTGAACAGCCCCAACTTTCTCAGCCTATCTTCATACGGGAGGTGCTCCAGTCCCCTGATCATACTCATGGCTCTCTTCTGGACTTGCTTCAATAGCTCCATGTCCTTATGTTGAGGACACCAGAACTGCACACAATACTCCAAGTGGGGACTCACAAGAGAAGAGGGGCAGGATCACCTCCCTGGACCTGCTGGTCATGCTCCTTTTGATACAGCCCAGGATACAGTTGGCTTTCTGGGCTGTGAGCACACATTGCTGGATTATGTTAAATTTCTCATCAACCAACACCCCCAAGTCCTTCTCCGCAGGGCTGCTCTCAATCTCTTCTCTGCCCAACCTGTAGCTGTGCCTGGGATTGCTCTGACCCAGGTGTAGGACCTTGCACTTGGAATGGTTAAATTTCATAAGGTTGGCATCAGCCCACCTCACAAGCCTGTCAAGGTCCCTCTGGATGGCATTCCTTCCCTCCAGCGTATCAACCGAACCACACAGCTTGGCGTCATCGGCAAACTTGCTGAGGGCGCACTCAATCCCACTGTCCTTGTCAGTGACGAAGATGTTAAACAAGACCGGTCCCAACACCGATCCCTGAGGGACACCACTCGTTACTGGTCTCCAGCCGGACATTGAGCCATTGACCACAGCTCTTTACGTGCGGCCATCCAGCCAGTTCTTTATCCACTGAGTGGTCCATCCATCAAATTGATGTCTCTCCAATTTAGAGACAAGGATGTCATGTGGGACAGTGTGGAACGCTTTGCACAAGTCCAGGTAGATGACATCAACTGCTCTACCCCTGTCCATCAGTTCTGTAGCCCCATCATAGAAGGCCACCACATTGATCAGGCAGGATTTCCCCTTAGTGAAGCCATGCTGGCTGTCACCAAGCACCTTGTTGTTTTTCATGTGCCTTAGCATGCCTTCCAGGAGAATCTGATCCAAGATTTTGCCAGGCACAGAGGTGAGACTGACTGGTCTGTAATTCCCCAGGTCATCCATTTTCCCCTTCTTGAAAATGGGGGTTATATTTCCCTTTTTCCAGTCGTCAGGAACTTCACCTGACTGCCATGATTTCTCAAATATGATGGCCAGTGGCTTCGCAACTTCATTCGCCAGCTCCTTCAGGACCCGCGGATGGATTTCATCAGGTCCCATGGACTTGTGCACGTTCAGATTTTTAAGATGGTCTCAAACAGGATCCTCTCCTACAGTGGGCGCAAGGTCTTCATTCTCACAGTCCCTGCATCTGCCTTCCAAGACTTGGGTGGTGCAGTCAGAGCCTTTGGCAGTGAAGACCGAAGCGAAGAAGTCATTCAGAACCTCAGCCTTCTCCAAATCCTGTATAGCCAGTTCTCCTGAGAGCTTCCTGAGGGGGCCTACATTCTCCCTAGTTTGTTTTTTATTTTTTGCATAAGAAGATGGAGAGATGACAAAATGAATAAAGAAAGGAGGCACAGAAGAGGAAACAGAAGTAGCAGGTATGAACTGGACAGCACCATTGATTATGTTAAATTTCTCATCAACCAACACCCCCAAGTCCTTCTCCGCAGGGCTGCTCTGAATTTCTTCTCTGCCCAACCTGTAGCTGTGCCTGGGATTGCTCCGACCCAGGTGTAGGACCTTGCACTTGCCATGGTTTAACTTCATGAGGTTGGCATCAGCCCACCGCACAAGCGTGTCAAGGTCCCTCTGGATGGCATTCCTTCCCTCCAGTGTATCAACAGAGCCACACAGCTTGGTGTCATCAGCAAACTTGCCAAGGGTGCACTCAATCCCACTGTCCATGTCACTGATGAAGATGTTGAACAAGACCGGTCCCAATCCCGATCCCTGAGGGACACCACTCGTTACTGTTTTCCAACTGGACATTGAGCCATTGACCACAACTCTTTGCATGCTGCCTTCCAGCCATTTCTATATCCACTGAGTGGTCCATCCATCAAATTATATCTCTCCAGTTCAGATACAAGGATATCGTGCGGGACAGTGCTGAATGCTTTGCACAAGTCAAGGTAGTTCATGTCAACTGCTTTGCCCCTATCCATCAGTTCTGTGGCCCCATCATAGAAGGCCTACAGCACACAGCTCTTATATAAAAAGACAAGGGTCCCTCCATGATATTAGCTCTGAAAACAACAGCACCTTGCATATGCAAATTAAAGTCTTTTTCCGTTTGTCTGATGGTGTGTTGATCAAAAAGCAGTCTCAAGCAGTAGCTTACCCCTTGAGGAGTTTGGAGACTTCACATTGTTCTTCTGTAGGCTTTTCCTGAAAAGAACTGCAAGCAGATCCAGTAGCCTTTGCCCAAGATGGAGCACTGATCTTCTGAATGTTTTAATTCACTTTTCTTTTTCTTTTAGTTTGATTCATTTATCTCATGAAAAAATTATACGATCAGAGCCGCCTTCCTAAAATCTTAGCATGATGGGGACAGTGATAGGATATTTTTCTATTTAATTTTTATTTTTGTTTGCTTCCTCACATGGATCCACTACATAAAAGGCCAGGTTTTCTGAACAGCCTGTGCAGTGACTTGTTTCTACTCTCAGATACTCAGCAAGCAGGTTTTCAAGTATTTTCAGACACTTGTTTCCCTTAGTTTCTGTTCTTCCACCCCATTACACTGATGTTATTTCCTCTTAGATGTCCTTTACTTCTGACTAAGCTTCTGGGAGACAGGATCTCCCTTCTCCATGTCAGAAGAGATAAAAGAGTATGCAGTCATCACAAGTGTGAGCAATTAGTATGTAAGCATGTCAAGAAAATCCTATTATTAGAAAGATTCCCTCTGAGCTATAAATTGGATGCTGTTAGTAGTTTGAACATTTCAAATGCTGCTAACCTGTTGAATGAGTTGACAGAGGGAAGGCACACTTCGAAGTCAACAAGACCTGAATATCTGAACCGCAGGTGTCAGAAAAGTGAAGATCATTGCTGAGGCTCATCCAGCAAGTTATACTATAAATATACAAAGAGCAACAAATATTCTCCTCTATCAGTTGGGACATGAATTTTCTTTTTAAGCACCCAGTTGAACTTTCAGATGCTCATTGAACGGTGTGCATGTTTGCAAGAATGTGTTTCATGAGCCAGAATGCTTCTAGCTCACGTAACATAGGGCTATCAGGAACTGATAGGATTCTGAAACAGCATGCATTTATGTGTGCATGAGAAGAAGTAATAATGGGAGCACTTTTTAACCTCCCACAACTGAAAGAAGTATTTGCATGAGGACACCAAGGCTTTTCTTTTGTTCTTCTTTTAGGAATATTGGATGCAGCTACAGAAAAAATCCTCATCTGCAGGAAGCTGGTTACAGTAGCTTGCTGCTCAGCTATGCTAGCCTTCTGAAAGCGATAATAGCTCTCTATGCTGCAGGCCGTATAGATGGTCAGGTGAGTAGAAATCAGCTTTGCCAGGCTCTCCACTGCACACAACATAACCCAGATGAGATCCATCATTGCCTTACATTCTTCACTGATTCTCTGCCGTCAAATTATTCATTAGCTTTTTCCAGCATTGTGTGCTGTGGTTGGGCTAGAAAATCCAGCTGATACGCAGGAGTACAGGAAAATGTTCTGTGTCTTCAAGTCAATTAGAGTTATATTTTTTGATCATTTATTTTCCGAGAGGTTAATATTGTAGATACTTTCCACCACACCACATCAGCCCATTCCTTGAGCTAACAGTTTTTCTAAAGCTCAGACAGTGCTGATCCCATTCTGCAAATTAAGGTATGACTCTGTGACTGATTTGGCCAAAGGTCACCCTGACAGCAACCTGTAGTCATGTAGTGAAACCTGTCTGTGTCCCTTGAAGGTCCAGAGGAATGTACAGTTCTCAAATTTTTGGTTAGCTCATGCTATTTCACTTGAGGATTTATTGTCATGCCTCACAGTCAGCAGTAATGGCTATAATATATGTGATGCTGAATCAGCCACCTGGTTGGAGGGCTGTTTGTTATAACTCACTGAAAAGATAACACAAGCAGTACAATATGCACTTTAATGCATACCAAACCCATGAAATCTTCCTGTTCATCTTCTGCTAAAAGATACCCCCAACCACTGATTTCAAGGGAAGCACTGTGTCAGCAAAACTAATAGGGTTTGATCCAAATATATGTGTCCCTAGAACTCTAGAGGATACAGGACTTCTCTAAGGAAGTGGTTATCCAACTACATGGCCACATCCTGGGCAAGGTCAATAGCCTTGGTGATGGCACTGCCACTCACTTCAGTAGGGGTCCAAATATCACCTAGAAAAAAGGAAACAAATAGCCTAAATGGTGAAGAACTAATATCTGCTTGTGGCTGACTGACAACATCACCTTAGTGACACTGTGTCTCTGTGGCTGAGGTATAAAGCTTATCTTAGTTTGCATGTGCTAATTACTATGCAGATATGTAATACAGGAGATTATTGTTATGATTATAATAACAATATAGCAATGATGAATAATATTTTGGGGAAAAATAATAATTAAAAAAAGTAAAAGCCAGACACAAGCATACACATGCTATATTAACACATATTTATATATATAGAATAAATATATTTATCTATAAATATATTAACACATGATATAATGGTAATGGTGTTTTCCAGGCCTGCTATTCTTTCTCTTCAAGCAATGACTGCCTATATCCTGCTGGCAAAACATCTCTGGAATATGTTCTGTTTTACAAATGAAATAAAAGTAACCCAAACAACTGAACAAATATTACAACTATTCATCATCAGGCAGAGAAACAGTACACTTTACTATGTCTTGATCTCACGTGAGGTCAGTCTCTAGTGAAGAAAATCTGATGAATACCTAAATTAATGGGCAGTGCCTCCATATCAGCTAATCAGCGCAAGGCCATTTATGGGATTATGACATGGCCATGACATGGATCATGAGAAGCCAAAGGTATAGCTAATAAATCATAGGAATTATGGCATTAGAAAAAATGCCTTTTGAGTAAATACATCAGCAGCACAAGTTTTAACACAGACCATGATTGATGCAAGCTTAGCAGAGTTCTGTGACATTGCGATCCCTTAATGGAAATCCAGACCACTGCCTTAAGCCACCACAGCAAGTGGTGAACCATGGCTACTTCTCACTGAAATGCCTGCATAGCTTAGGCGTTCTTGTTATCCCAGGAACCCAATCACCATGTTGCTTTGTGTTTATAGTTCAAGTCACTGAAGACACATGATAAATGTAACTTATATTTCTGCCATTCAGGATTAATACAGAATTTCAACATAATATTACTCTGCTTTGCAAGACAACGTATATAGTAACAAAATCTATAATGAAGTACATTTTTGTAGCCTTTTCCATTTCATTCTCTCTAATTCATTGACTGGCTGGTCTCTGAAACCTATTTGTCTTTTCCAAAGCTTCTTTTAAACTCCTGTTGTTGCCATCTTGCCCTTTACGTACCTAGCCACACACACACTTCTGCCACACAAGCAGGGTAGTATGACTGGCTTCTCTCAGCTCCAGCCTATTTCCTTACCATAGTCACTATCCAAAGTACAGTCATTAGCATTAATAACTGCTGTACTGGATCTGTTAGTTGTTCCTTGAGATGTAGTTGCATAAGATGATGATAGATTTCTCATCTTGCTAACCCAGGAAATCCTGCACAAATGTTCATATTGGCACAGGAGAGACAAGAGTATATTGCCAGCAATACTGGGGGATAGGACTTCCCTTTTAAATGGTGGCTATCAATTTTATCAGGCAAAGTGAATCTGGAACCATGAGGGCACAAGGAACTCTTGAGGGGACAAGCAGTGGTGTGGCAGAGAGGCAAAAATGGGGCAGCTTCACCACAAAAGCCATCATCTTGTGAAACTGCAACTTAGGGATGTTGCTAGTGCAAGTCTTATAAAAATACTGACAATCATGGCAATTTTCATAGCAGCCTTACAATATCAACCTGATTTTACATGTAAGGATGTCATAAGCAGGTTTTCATAGTGTTCATACCAGTTCTGTTTGGGTCAATTTAATAGAACTTTATTGCTACAGCAGGAAAAGTTAAAGTTTCCAAAATGCCAGAAGTCACACTCTCTGACATCTATCAGGAGAGAAGCAAAACAACTTCTCAGCAGCAACAGTGTGGTGATACCTGGTATATTTGGATTTGATTTCCTCCGTAAAGTTGAGTCAGAAATGTCCTCCAGGCTTGCCTCCACCATTTGTCTTTGTGTGTCAGCTCATGCAGCACTTCCAAAGCCTTGGCGAGATGCCATCACCCTCAGAGATGCTGTAGAGCTGCAGTGGATAAAAATAACTTATTACTTAACAGCTGACACTGGTCGCAGTCACTGCAGATGAGTTGCAAATAATTGCTCTGCAAAGATCTGCTCACCTCCAGAGGAAATGTGTTTAAGCCTGTGGTTTCTAGCTAAAATTACCTGCCACCCCTTTCTGGTGGTCATTTCTGCCTTCATGATATTATTACATGACTGGCATCCCCATGACTAGTGCTGGTGCACTGGAAGCCAATAATTATGTTCCCAAGTGAAGGCAAAGATCACAGGAAGCAGCCTTGTTTCTAAGCTTCGACTTCTCTGGCGTATATTTATCCATTTTCAATCTGAAATAGTGGGGCTGGAATGAGCCTGGTCACCTCTGCCAAGAGCAGACATCATGGTGGTGACCTAGCCTGTCCCAGACCCTGCTGGGTGGCTCTAGGACAGCTGGCAGGAGCATGATGTTGGGCTGCCTGCACTAAAATGTAGAGGGAGGACAGCTCAGCCTTGCCACCCTGGGTGATGCAGCTGTCAGATGGCTGAATGGTACTGATGTCACTGTGATAACATTGGAAGTGAAAAGCTTTGTGCATTTCACTGCTCAGATGAGTTTTGCCAACCCAGGAGCTCTATGTCATCTACTGCAGCCGAGGAGGTTGTTTCAGCTGGTGTACGGCATGGCGTCAACAGCTTTCTGAAGCACTCATTCCCTGGCAGGAGCTCAAGGAGCATTTCCAGCAACCTCCAATTACAGTATTAATTACAAAAGACTGTAAGTTCTCCAGTAGAGGCCCCGAGCTTCCTTTGCATGCAATTAGCAAGGACTTTCCTGTCCATGCAGGTAGAGCTCTCTTCAGAGTATCTTCAGCCTGTTTATACATCACCTATCATTGTCAACTTCCATTAAACAATGAGACATTAAAACGTTGTTCATGCAGAGCACATGCCTTTCAAAAAGCAAATGTCATGTTTAGTGAACTGCTAATCTGGAGGTATTGAAAGGATATTATAATGATAATTTTGATGATCAGTGGCTTCTTTCTACTTCTGTTCCATACTAGCATTTTATGTGATAACCCCTAGAATCTTAATGAAACTGACACAGTAACACCTTAAAGAGAAGCATCAGATGCCTTAACCAGCTTGCAGATCGCAGATTGCAGCACTAACTCACAAAAATTAGCAGACTGTCTCCAAGAAATATTTGTGCCTCATTGTGGAAAGCTTATGGCAAGAAATGCCCACGGTGGCATGGAGCTAGACTTCCCTTTCACCGGTCAAAAAGAAGATTATTTTGCTGCTCTACTAATGATGTGATTGCTGACTCACATCTGATATAGAAAGTTCTGAATACTAAGTCTGAATCTCTTCTCGCTGTCTTCAATTTGGATACCTGAAGACTTGACGACAAAATTAAGTACTTATGGTAGGGTACATCTCACCAGTCTTCTACCATGTAAAGGTCAAGGGTGAAGCCCATAGTTAACCATCCTATTGGAGGAGTAAAAGAAAGGCACTTTCAGAAGGCCTCATCCTGAGATTCCTATCTGGTCCTCTAAACTGGTTTCATAGAAAACCTGTGTGATGGGTAGTTAACTAGACACTTAAGTTTTTCCATCCTTATTGGTCTGACTGTGGCTTTTGATTTCTCTGCAAATAATACAAAGCGTATGTCCCAGCTTCTGTGCTGCAGAAATGAAACATTGTGCTTGAACCCTGTTTTAAGCCCAGACTCTCCTTATGCGTATGGGGAAGGGGGAGTTATTTTACAATTAAATAAATTAAATGTCTGTCACAGTAAAATGATCCACTTGGCACCTGTAGGCATGTGACATATCATCAAGATGTATATTTTCTTGGGTGACATACCATGGACTTCTCAGCTGCAAAGGTAGAACTGCCCAAGGCTATTTGATTTTTGCACCTGAAACAGAAAAACTTTTAGATTTTCATTCATAAATCAATGGTGCTGTCCAGTTCATACCTGCTACTTCTGTTTCCTCTTCTGTGCCTCCTTTCTTTATTCATTTTGTCATCTCTCCATCTTCTTATGCAAAAAATAAAAAACAAACTAGGGAGAATGTAGGCCCCCTCAGGAAGCTCTCAGGAGAACTGGCTACACAGGATTTGGAGAAGGCTGAGGTTCTGAATGACTTCTTCGCTTCGGTCTTCACTGCCAAAGGCTCTGACTGCACCACCCAAGTCTTGGAAGGCAGATGCAGGGACTGTGAGAATGAAGAACTTGCGCCCACTGTAGGAGAGAATCCTGTTCGAGACCATCTTAAAAATCTGAACGTGCACAAGTCCATGGGACCTGATGAAATCCATCCGCGGGTCCTGAAGGAGCTGGCGAATGAAGTTGCGAAGCCACTGGCCATCATATTTGAGAAATCATGGCAGTCAGGTGAAGTTCCTGACGACTGGAAAAAGGGAAATATAACCCCCATTTTCAAGAAGGGGAAAATGGATGACCTGGGGAATTACAGACCAGTCAGTCTCACCTCTGTGCCTGGCAAAATCTTGGATCAGATTCTCCTGGAAGGCGTGCTAAGGCCCACGAAAAACAACAAGGTGCTTGGTGACAGCCAGCATGGCTTCACTAAGGGGAAATCCTGCCTGATCAATGTGGTGGCCTTCTATGATGGGGCTACAGAACTGATGGACAGGGGTAGAGCAGTTGATGTCATCTACCTGGACTTGTGCAAAGCGTTCCACACTGTCCCACATGACATCCTTGTCTCTAAATTGGAGAGACATCAATTTGATGGATGGACCACTCAGTGGATAAAGAACTGGCTGGATGGCCGCACGTAAAGAGCTGTGGTCAATGGCTCAATGTCCGGCTGGAGACCAGTAACGAGTGGTGTCCCTCAGGGATCGGTGTTGGGACCGGTCTTGTTTAACATCTTCGTCACTGACATGGACAGTGGGATTGAGTGCGCCCTCAGCAAGTTTGCCGATGACGCCAAGCTGTGTGGTTCGGTTGATACGCTGGAGGGAAGGAATGCCATCCAGAGGGACCTTGACAGGCTTGTGAGGTGGGCTGATGCCAACCTTATGAAATTTAACCATTCCAAGTGCAAGGTCCTACACCTGGGTCAGAGCAATCCCAGGCACAGCTACAGGTTGGGCAGAGAAGAGATTCAGAGCAGCCCTGCGGAGAAGGACTTGGGGGTGTTGGTTGATGAGAAAATGAACATGAGCAGGCAGTGTGCACTCGCAGCCCAGAAAGCCAACCGTATCCTGGGCTGCATCAAAAGGAGCGTGACCAGCAGGTCAACGGAGGTGATCCTGCCCCTTTACTCTGCTCTTGTGAGACCTCACCTGGAGTATTGTGTGCAGTTCTGGTGAACTCAACATAAAAAGGACATGGAACTGTTGGAACCAGTCCAGAGGAGGGCCACGAGGATGATCAGGGGACTGGAGCACCTCCCGTATGAAGACAGGCTGAGAAAGTTGGGGCTGTTCAGCCTGGAGAAGAGAAGGCTGTGTGGAGACCTCATAGCAGCCTTCCAGTATCTGAAGGGGGCCTATAGGGATGCTGTAGAGGGACTCTTCATTAGGGACTGTAGTGACAGGACAAGGGGTAATGGGTTAAAACTTAAACAGGGGAAGTTTAGGTTGGATATAAGAAGGAAATTCTTTCCTGTTAGGGTGGTGAGGCGCTGGAATGGGTTGCCCAGGGAGGCTGTGAATGCTCCATCCCTGGCAGTGTTCAAGGCCAGGTTGGACGAGGCCTTGGGTGATATGATTTAGCGTAAGGTGTCCCTGCCCACGGCAGGGGGGTTGGAACTAGATGATCTTAAGGTCCTTTCCAACCCTAACGATTCTGTGATTCTATGATTCTAAATCCGTCTCTCAGAGATTTATGTTCCACTCTGCCAGAGATACGTCTACTTGGGATGCATTACTCACTTTCTCAGATACCAATATTAATCCAATTTTCTTTTAGCATGATGGGATTTGGACACAATTTCTATTATCAGTAGTGGAGATATTATGCCAGCATACCACCACAGGGATATCAGATTGTGTCTGATTCATGGAAATGAATAGCTGTTTTATGAGAGACTTGTGTGTGAGCAGGAATATGTTTATTGAGCTCCATTCTCCAAAGTGTTGGGCAAAGGCCTGAAGATGTGCTTAAGCTCTTGGTGATTCATGGCCAGAGTTTCTGTGTTTTACATGGTTGAACCAAAGTTCCTTTCTTTTTTCAGTCACTGAAGTTAACAGAAGGATTCACAGTATCACAGTATCACAGTATGCTAGAGATTGGAAGGGACCTCGAAAGATCATCTAGTCCAATCCCCCTGCCGGAGCAGGAACACCTAGATAATGTTACACAGGAATGTGTCCTGGTGGGTTTTGAATGTCTCCAGGGAAGGAGACTCCACAACCTCCCTGGGCAGCCTGTTCCAGTGTTCCGTCACCCTCACTGAGAAGAAGTTTCTTCTCAAGTTTAAGTGGAACCTCTTGTGTTCCAGTTTGTACCCATTACCTCTTGTCCTATCATTGTTTGCCACTGAGTAGAGCCTGGCTCCATCCTCGTGACACTCCCCCTTTATATATTTATGTACACTAATAAGGTCACCCCTCGGTCTCCTCTTCTCTAAACTATAGAGACCCAGCTCCCTCAGTCTTTCCTCATAAGGGAGATGCTGCACTCCCTTAATCATCTTCGTTGCCCTGCGCTGGACTCTCTCCAGCAGCTCCCTGTCCTTCTTGAACTGAGGGGCCCAGAACTGGACACAATATTCCAGATGCGGTCTCACCAGGGCAGAGTAGAGGGGAAGGAGGACCTCTCTCGACCTACTAACCACCCCCCTTCTAATACACCCCAGGATGCCATTGGCCTTCTTAGCCACAAGGGCACAGTGTTGGCTCATGGTCATCCTGTCGTCCACTAGGACCCCCAGGTCCCTCTCCCCTACACTGCTCTCTAACAGGTCGTTTCCCAACCTATACTGGAACCTGGGGTTGTTCCTGCCCAGATGCAGGACTCTACACTTTCCCTTGTTATATTTCATCAAGTTATTCCCTGCCCAACTCTCCAGCCTGTCCAGGTCTCGCTGGATGGCAGCACAGCCTTCTGGCGTGTCAGCCACTCCTCCCAGCTTAGTGTCATCAGCAAACTTGCTGATAGTACACTCAATTCCCTCATCTAAATCATTGATGAATATATTAAATAATACCGGTCCCAGTACTGACCCTTGAGGCACTCCACTGGTTACAGGCCTCCAACTAGACTCCGCCCCATAGACTACAACTCTCTGGCTTCTCTCCTTCAGCCAGTTCACAGTCCACCTCACTACCTGATCATCCAGTCCACACTTCCTCAATTTAGCCGTGAGGATGCTGTGGGAGACCGTGTCAAATGCTTTGCTGAAGTCAAGGTAGACCACATCCACCGCTCTGCCATCATCCATCCACCGTGTTATTTCCTCATAAAAGGCTATGAGATTGGTCAAACATGATTTCCCCTTGGTGAAGCCATGTTGACTGCCCCTCATAACCCTCTTATCCTTGATATGCCTTAAGATGGCACCAAGGATAAGATGTTCCATCACTTTCCCAGGGACCGAGGTGAGGCTGACCGGTCTATAGTTACCCGGGTCCTCCTTCTTGCCCTTTTTGAAGACTGGAGTGACATTTGCTTTCCTCCAGTCCTCAGGCACCTCTCCCGTTTCCCAAGACTTGGTAAAGATGATGGAGAGTGGTCTAGCAATGACTTCCGCCAGTTCCCTCAGCACCCGCGGGTGCATCCCATCTGGACCCATGGATTTATGGATGTCCAGATTGCTCAACTGGTCTCTAACCCATTCCTCATCGACTAAGGCAAACCGCTCCATTGACTGACTTCATCTAAGGTCTCAGGGGTACAGGGCTCTTCAGGACTGCCCGCAGCAGAGTAGACAGAGACAAAGAAGGCATTCAGTAACTCTGCCATCTCTGTATCTTCTGTCACCAGGGCACCCATCCCGTTCATCACTGGGCCTACATTGCCTCTGGTGTTAGTTTTGTCTGCCATGTATTTGAAAAAGCTCTTTTTGCTGTCCTTGACCCTTCTCGCCAGGTTTAATTCTAAGGAGGCCTTAGTCCTCCTAGGTGCCTTCCTACATCCTCTAGCAGCAGCCTTATATTCCTCCCAAGTGGCCAGCCCCTCCTTCCATGACCTGTAAACTCTCCTCTTCCACTTGAGCATACCCAGCAATTCCCTATTTAGCCACACAGGTCTCCTGGCCCTCTTCCTTGACTTCCTACGTGTCGAGATGCTCCGATCTTGAGCTCGGAAAAAGCAATCCTTGAATGTCAACCAACTATCTTGGGCCCCTTTACCTTCAAGCAGCCTTGCCCATGGGATTTCCCCTAGCAATTGCTTGAAAAGGCCAAAGTTTGCCCTGCTAAAGTCCAGGGTTGCAATTCTACTTGGTATTCTACTAGTCCTGCCACACAAGATCCTGAATTCCACCATCTCGTGGTTGCTGCAACCAAGGCAGCCCTCAACCCTTACTGCTTCAACCAGACCCTCCTTGTTAGTGAGGATGAGATCCAGCAGTGCTCCTCTCCTGGTTGGCTCATCCACCATTTGCAGGAGGAAGTTATCATCCATACACTGGAGGAACCTCCTGGACTGTGGCTGGGTTGCTGAGTGGTCCTTCCAGCAAACATCAGGGAAGTTAAAATCCCCCACGACGACCACGGCTTGTGACTGTGAGGCCACTCTCAGCTGCCTGCAGAAGGCCTCGTCAACTTCCTCACCCTGATCTGGTGGTCTGTAACAGACACCTACGACAGTATCCCCCCTGCCAGGCTGCCCCTTAATTCTCACCCACAGACTCTCAACTAGCTCGTCATCTGTCCCTGGACAGAACTCGGTGCATTGTAGTTGCTCCCGCACATAAAGAGCAACCCCACCACCCCGCCTGGCTGGCCTGTCTTTCCTGGAAAGGACATAGCCCTCCATGACTATATTCCAGTCATGTGAGCTGTCCCACCACGTCTCTGTAATTGCCACCAGATCATTGTCTCCTGACTTAACACAGGTTTCCAACTCCTCCTGCTTATTTCCCATGCTGCGCACATCGGTGTACAGACATTCCAGGGAGCGAGCTGAGCACACCGATTTCAGCCTAGGATTATAGGAGGCCTCCCAGTCTTCATCAATTCTGGAGTGCTGCCCTACTGGGGCAAGCCCAGCTACAACCCCATCCCCCTTCGAATCTAGTTTAAAGCTCTCCAAATGAGCCCTGCTAATTCGTGCCCCAGCATCCTTTTGCCTCTGTGAGATAAACCTTTCCCACTTGTCATTGTCCAGACTGGTGCCCTATAAAACCAGCCGTTATCAAAGAATCCAAAGCCCTGCCTGTAGCACCAGTCTCAAAGCCAATTGTTTATGAACTGAATCTTCCCATTCCTTCCCACATCATCAGTGGAGGATGGAAGGAGTGAGGAGAAGATCACTTGAGCCCCAGACTCTTTGACCATCCGCCCCAAGGATGCCCATTCATGGATGGGTATTGCAGTGTACATTAGAAGAAATAAGATGGTTGCAAAGAAAGAGGAAAGACAACTCTCACTGCATCAGATAGGAAGGATGCAATGACTTCCTGAATTTGTCCTCTTCACCACTGCCTCTGCCACATTCTGCCTCATTTTCCTTTACATGGTTAAAGAGCTCAGCAATAGGCAGTTCTTCAATATGCAGAGCTACCACAGAGTCCTTTCTTCTTAAATGTGAAAGTGGCTTAGCAAATATAGAATCATAGAACAGTTAAGGTTGGAAAGGACCTTAGGATCATCTAGTTCCAACCCCCCTGCCATGGGCAGGGACACCTCACACTAAACCATGCCACCCAAGGATCTGTCCAACCTGGCCTTGAACACCACCAGGGATGGAGCATTCACAACCTCCCTGGGCAAATTCACAGCCTACCTACTCTAAGGACAGCTTATGGTGTATATTTGAGTGAAGGAATTTTTGTTTAAAAAAAAATAGTCCTTGGTTTAATGGGTAATTTCCCTTGAAAATGGTAAACTGCAAATTAAATGGCAAAAAGCAATTAATTATTGAAATGATAATATCCTTATAAAGGTTAAGAGGTAATATAAATGAAGTTCCTGTGAGCATATTAATGGAATTACTATCTTCCCCCTTATAAGTGGCAACTGTAACGACCTTGCTAATTAGCTATTTCAGCAGGAAATATTGAAATATGTAGTTATATTGCAGAAGCACAATCTATGACTAGGTTATTTTGCTACTACATAATACAGAGAGAACCCTTCTACATGCAGTGAAGAGCTCTTCCCAGAGCATGCAGCTTTTGGTGGAAACAAGAAACTATGCATTTGAATGACATAGGAAGAACAACTTCTAATTTGAAGGATAACATGAGTCAAAGCAAAAGATTTAACACAGACACACAGTCCAAGATACACCTCTCTTCAGCTCACTGCAGCCTCCCTGTGAGCACAAGGCATGGCCAGAACATGATTTGACCCACTGTGGCTGAATAGGAACCTGTTGCTCCCCAGGCACAGGTAGCCTGGGCTCTACAACCCAGTCTGGGTCTCAGGTACTCCCTGTGCAATATCTGTAATATATGGAGGTATACTTTTATAATACAAAAATGCATAGCCATGTAGGTATATGAATACTATATATACTGGATTTTCTATTGACAAGTCTTTTAGAAAGCTTTAAAAAATGAGCTTAGCTCTTCCCCCACTGAGAACATGTTTTGGACATTGATACATGGCAAAGTGGGCACTGTTTGCATTTCAGCTGACAAGAGATGGCATTCCAATTTTCCTGTGAATGAATCTGTGGGAGATGACAGGGGTTCACCCTGCATGGAACCACCTGAGAGCTGTACAAACCTCAGAGGTATGATGGGGAGTAAATGAGCTTCCACTTGTAGAACAAATTGGCCTTTGTCCCCAACAAAAGGATTTTCATCTTCCCTTTCTAAAAACCCCAGAAATCATTAGCGTCATCCTTGGGAATGTGATCTAATATAGTGACCTAGATGCAAATGATTGCTAGAGCTCAAGGGGCGAAGCAGCTCAGCTCCAGTTCTGTGGCAAAAGGCTGGGGGGAGGAACATGGCCCTGCCTTCTATCCCCATCTCAGATACACATGGTTTATGCAAACTGTGACACTAAAGCCACTGTTGCAGGTTGTGCAAAGGCACCTCAGGAAACTCAAGATAATGGCACAGGGCTATTAGAAATCATTCAAACTTTGTGTAAAACAGAAACAAGCTCTGCTCTCTGCCCCCACTTTTCATGCGCACGTCTTTGTCTGCAGCCCGCACCAAATGCTTCAGCAGGAAGAAAGACCAAATCCCCTGCTATTTCCACAGAGCCCAGGAGGTGTGAAGCCTACCTGTGCTTGCAGGCTGGCCTGTCCCCTTTTCCACCACTTCTCCATGCCCTCCCTGTCCTGGACACCCAGCGAGTGCCACTTCAGCAGCACCAAGCGCCACTACAGCCTCTACTGCACTTGGGCACCCTATGGGGCTAACTTGAGGAGCAGCCTGCTTCTGGCCCTGGTTTTAAAATGTGACTCTCAGCTTAAAGCTGATCCCTAACTGAGGCTTTAAATTAAACAGGAAAATCTTCTTCTGGTTGCATGCGTCCTTAAAAAATCTTTTTTCTGTGAACACACATGCCGTGAAATGCAAGAAAACACTGTGGCAATACCTGCTTGCAGCACATTCCCCACATCTTTATTTAATAGTGTCAAGGGAAAACAGACAGATGTTCCCCCGGTAAATAAGATGCCACAATTAAATTATTTGTATTGGTTCTATATGCAGAGAAAACATGCTGTCAGTTTCTTACCAGGAAATTACTCATTCATCATCCAGACATTCCTTATTTTTCAAAGTCCACTTGGGGACAGTGGAAATTTAGGATTGAAATCATCTGCGTTTTTCCTGAGTTTGTGCAGGACTAAGCCAATTCCCTGTTGAAGGAGGATGAGTCTGGGACCCGTCATCCCAGAGCTGTCACCTTGGCAGTGTCTGCGAGAGCAGAGCAGGCATTCCTTCCTTCAGCTGTGAGGCTGGTGCAGAATAAACCTCTCTGGCCTCTCCCAGAGCCACCAGGCTTGTCAGCAGAAGGGCACAAAGAAACAATCAGTAGCTTGATTTGCTGTAGCTACTATTTTAGAGCCTTGTAAAATGCAGATCACCTGGTGGCTTTTATATAATAGATAAGTAATAATTTTCTAAAGCTGAAACAACATAAGGAGGGTTTATGGCAAATAATAAAGGATGTTTCCTTTTTCTTATGTTACACTGACAAGTTGTTTGTATGTGCATGTGTGTTGGTTAACAGACTGATGTTAACAACAGCGTTATATCCAGTAAGACAACTGTCCTCCAGAAATGTGTTCTGTTCATATACTGTCAGTAAGATGATTTATAAAAATTGTCACCACAAAAATAAGCACTAATCATAATGCATTTTTGGAATGGAAGTGGAGAGAGGATTTTTTGTTCAGAGCTAAGTTTTTAGGTCAGGATTCAGGTTTTGATGTCAGCCCCAGTTCTTGGGAGTCTATTTCCTTCCACAGTAGAAAACATGCAATGTGTTTGACATGGAAAAGACACTACATGGATGTGCTGACTTGAATTTGTTTTCTTACCTTCCTCAGAGAAATTTGCAGGTGTTAGACTTGCAGTTCTCTTTTTCTGCCTATTTAGTTGATTTTGTTTTTTCCCAGCTGCTGGGATTGGACGTATTTCAGGCAAATATATTAATTATCAGATGATTTTCCTAGCAATACTTGTCTGTTTGGTTTTTAGTGACTGTATTTGAATAATTGGGTTGACTTTCTGCTGCTCCCAGTATGTAGCCTCAAGTCTATTGTTGTGCCTACACCTTTCTTTTTCATTTGAAATCAAGTACAGACATGACCTGAAGATCCAGTTTTGTAAGATGCTCGGAACCATGTCTGCATGATCACTCTCCTGCAGACCACACAAGAGAAAACCAGGTGGTGGCCTGCAAGATAAAAACGTCTTGTTTCTTTTTATTGTCAAAGACTGAAGAATAAGATGGAGGTTTGGTAACTGCTTCATTTTCCTCATAGTTTGGGAACATACATATTTCCCTATGGCATTTTATAGACAGTGGATTGTCTTACAGGATATGCTGTGATGGAAGAGTCTGTGGCCGAGCCTGTGATGTGTATTGTTCCCTGTGATGTGAGGATTGAGTTAGGTCCAGTGACAGGATTTTCTGCCTTTATTCTGCTGCTCTGATGAGCTCCATCAAGTCTGTAGGGCCCCAGCTGTAACAGCAGCTTAGTCAATGGGTTAGGGAGAAGAAAAATGGTAAAATCTATAGGCATATTTCCCCGTATCCCTACCAGGGTAGTTTTCTGACAGTGTATTCATGGGTGTTTGATCCACTCTGACTTCCAGAGGCTCCAGCAGTGGGGAATCTGGGACTCAGGTTCCCGTGACCAACTCTGAAGCATATTCTCTTAAATTTCAAAACACTAAAACCAGTTTTTAAACCAGCTGCTATTTCAGTATAGAGAAGACCTTGGGGACTGTGACTTTTATCGCTCTGCTCTGAGGAGGTCTATCTGCTTTCGTGGTTACAAAAGGGACTGTGGATCCTGAAGCACTACGTGATAACTCCCGTTTTCTTTCAGACAGGCTAGATGTGATTGAAATATTTCTGCTAACTTTCCCAGCAGAAATACTTCTAAGAACAATGTTCTCTGAAAGGGGAGCAAATGCAGATACAGTTGAAGCGTGCTGTGTTGTAAACCTTAGGAAAAAAAATGGAATGAGAATTTGGATGTTAATTTATCCACACAATGTGTTTGTTTCTAATCAAAACAAAACTCCTCTGACAGAAAATGGATGGTGAAATAATGCTTATTGCCCTACAAGTGCTGAAGTTATGCAGCCAGCTTGTGGGGGCATTCAGAGACAGTTGGCAAGATAAGATGCTTCAGGAGAGATGTAGAATTCAGCGTACAGTTTCTGTGAGGGAATGCAGGATGGCAGCAGCTCAGGGCATGAATGTAAAGGCCATATAAGGGAAGTAAATGAACTGCTGTAGAGATGCCATTAGCCAAGCAAACACTGACTTGGGGACCTTGGTGTATACCATGGAAGGTATAAATTGCATAAAGAAATGCATACTGGTTTGCTTCTCCCTAGGTTTATAAAGCCAGTTTTAACCAAGACACTGTTCACATGTGTGAAACAAAGTTTTTCCACAATTTTAATGCCAAGCAATTTCTACTCATGTCTAATCCCAACACATGCCTAATTTAGACACATTTATCAAAATTCCATTATAAGCAAGGCCCCTGGCCAAGGAAAGAATGTCAGACTGGGTCTTTAAATAATTGTGGGGTTAATAACAGTACTTGATTTTTCTCCTTCTTTACACCAATAGCACAGCTCAAGTGACACAGGGAGCTTAGTATCCCTGCTATTTCAGGCCCTGGTACAATGAATAGCAGGAGGTAAAACACCTGACTGAGCTAGGTGAAGGCATGCAAGCAGTAAATGAAGAGTGTCTATACTCATGGAACACTGCACAGCTCCCTGCCAAAGAAGAGACCTGAGAGCCAATGTGCTCTCAGAGGTGGAGGCTTGGCACCAGGCAGAAAGCTGATTTGAGGGGAGGGTGCTAGAATGGTATGCTGTGGAGCAGGCTCCAGCTCTCAGCCTTGGGAAAGTCACACCAGCTCTCTTTCTGCCCGTCACGCCGTGGGCACATCCACATTCATGTTTTGGTGTGGATCAAGGGCACGCTTTTGAAGTAAATCTCCAGATCAGCCTCACCAGGCTGTGGTTCACTGAGCAGTGGTGAGTACACAAAGTGGGTGCAGAGGGCACTGAGGCAGAATTCAAGCTCCAGGACTGCATCTGACGTGTTGTGAGTGCTCATGGGGCCCTCAGTCCATAGACCCAGGTTGGAGTAAATCTGAAAAATAAGACCCTGTGGAAAAGTGTGAACATATTCAGGTCCTCAACACCAACCGATCGGATCAGACTAATCCACATTACTCACTAATACAGGTGTATACCATGAGGATATAGCCTAGAGGTAGCCAGGGTAGCATGGCTGTTTTGGGAGTATGCCTTCATTGTCTTCCTTGTGAAACACATTATTGCACATATTCTAGCACTCAGCCTATATTTAACCTAATCCTTTGATTTGAAGCACTTTTCCTTAAAGAATACGCTTGATATGTCGGTATGGAAAACTCGATCTTGCTAGATACATTCCAATCCATTTTTTATCCCTTGAGAAAATATTCATTTTCAGTAGTGTTCTGATTTTAAGACTTTGCATTATGGGGGAAAATTGAAAGTCTTATAAAAAAAACCCCAAACCAATAAAGTGGTTAAGTAATTTAATTCTGAACATGACTGTTGTTACTATTAAATGGTGTAAAAACAGGCTGAGTGCAATAAACCTCATTTCCATTTAGCATTAATAATATTAATGATCAGTACTTAAATCACGTACCATGTTCCAGCACTGAAGAAGAAACATTACAAAAGATATTTTGCATGTCTGGTGCTGACACAATTTAAACCTAGCATAAAAATGTCTTCTCTGTGAAGGAATTTATTCAAGCTGCAGGGCGGAGAAGAAAAAGCCGAATAGGAAATCTCCCTTTCTCCCAGAGGCTCTATGTGCACCATCCCTCCTCGCCCCCAGAAGGCAACCCCTCCCCAAAACTTTCCCACTGAAGACACTCTGGGAAAGGACTGGAGCTGCTGTCTCTCCGCTCGCATTAACCCAGCCGGGATGAGCTGCTGGGTGGTGTGGTCACATTCACTCCCGCTGTAGTCTACCAGGCTCCCGAACTGTTGCTATCAAAATGCTGGATCAGCAGCTCGAATGCAGACAGACAGACAGACACACACACGCCCACCCCCATCAGGAGATTAGCCCGTATTTTCCCATGTAAGGGCTGCAGCCTTCCTCTTGCCTTCTAACACTCCTGCCCTGCCGGCTTTTTCCTCTTCTGCCCTCTGCTCCGGCAGCGGCTCCACCGTTCCCCACACCCCGCAGGCAGCCGCCGAACTGCGGCGGGCGGAGAGGAGCCCGGCGCCGCCGCAGTGCTTCCCGCCGCCCCCAGACCGAGCGGCCCCGGCCCGGCTCGGAGAGCCGTGACCCACCGCTCCGGCCCCCGAGAACCGAGACCCACAGCCCAGCCCCTGCCGGGCTCGGAGAGCCGTGACCCACCGCTCCGGCCCCCGAGACCCACCGCCCCAGCCCCGGCCGGGCTCGGGAAGCAGGGACCCCCACCCCGCTCTGACCCCTCGGAGCAGTGACCTTCACCCGGCCCCGGGAGGGCTCAGGAGAACCCCATTCTTCGCCGTGGTCTGTCCGCTGCTTCTGTCGCCCGGCGGCTCGTCCCCGGCCCCGTCCGCGGCCCCTCAACAGCGCCGTCCGCGGCAGGTCCCGCCCGGGGAGGCGGCGGTGGGGAAAGGGGGAGGAGAGGCGGCGGAGTGCATTGCCTCCAGAGGAATCAAAAGGAGGGAGAGAGGAACGTGCGGAGGAGGGGAGGGGAAGACGGGCCGGGCCGGCGAGGGTCTCCGTCCCGCCCGCCTCGCCTTCGCGCCGGGAGAGTCGCTTGGGGCAGCCGCCACCCGCCGGCCCCACGCCCCGGCTCCGCGCCCATGTGCTCCTGGCAGCCGCGACGGGCAAACCTCGCGCACGGCGTGTCAGTAAGTAGCCCTTCGCCACCCCGGCACCTTCCCGGGCCCGTGCGGCACTCCTGTCACCGAACCTCTCCTGCTCCTCCCGGACCCCTGCTCCTCCCGGACCCCTGAACCCTCTTCCTGTCACGGAGTCCTGACCTGCAGCACTCCCTGCGCTCTGCATCTCCTACATGACTCCGGTTCCCTGATCCCGCAGAACCTCCTTTCCTTCCCGACCCGTGACCACCCTGCGCGGCCACATCTTCTGCAGTCCTTGACCCCCTGCCCCTCCCGGATCCTTCTTCCCCGCATCCCTTGTCTGTTCCACCGGACCCTCCAGACTCCCTTTTCCTCCCGTATCCCCAGTCCTCTTATCCCCTTGCCTTCCCGCATCGTACCCCTCCCGGGCCCCCGTTCTTCCCGGATCTCCCTGCCACCCGGACCGCTTTCCCTTCCCGGCCCCTCTGTCTTCCCGGCTCTACGTCCTCCTGGCCCCCCTGGCCCCCTGCCCTCCCGGCACCTCTGCTTCCCAGCCCTTCCCCGCCCGCATCTCTCTTTCTCTCCCGGACCCCCTTCCCCTCCCAGCCTGCTCCTCCCGAACCCCCAGTTCCCCCAGTTTCTTCCCTGCCCCCCCCCCCCCGGCGCCCCCCCGCATCCCCTGCCCCCTCATCTCCTGCACTTCCGCTCCCCTTCGCACTCTCCCGGTGCCGCGGGCACGACGCCCGGGCGCCCCGCAGCCTTCCCCTCGCATCACCCCAGCGAGTTTTGGTTCGTGGCCGCCGCCTTCCCTCAGGGGGAGCCGGATATCTCCGCCGCCCCCTCCTACCCCTGGAGGGCCGGGAGCGGGGTTTCGGGACCGGAGGGTAGAGCCCACCTTCCCGCAAAACGCCCGGCTGCGGGTTGGCAGCCTCCGGGAGGCAGAGCTGCTGCCCCGCCGCACTCAGCGGGTTGCGCAGTCCTACCCCTGGAGCCTTCATGTTGTGCCTTATTTCCAGCCGTACCTCCTCCCCTGATTTAGGGAATGATCTTCCCCAAGTGCCGTGACCCACTTTGCCTTAGACATGTGGTCCCACGCCAAGACACAGGCAGATTCTTCTCAAGAAGGTGTCTCTGGAAGGATGGAAGCACCCTATGCCCCTCTCTCAAGTTTCTGTCCCCAGGGTTTTGGTGTTTTGCAGGTTGAAAGGCATTTCTGTAAATAGGTGTATACTTCTTGAGTAGCAGCATAGGCCTTTTTTAACATTATAGAAGAGAATTGTCTTTCTTAGTTTTTAAAAGTAAACAAAACTTTTGTGTGGTGCACATGCTTAATTTCACTTACAGACTCCTTCTCTACATTCCCTCCTTGTGCTGAAGTACTATTGTTTTTATTGCCTGTACATGAATTGAATTCACTGATTGGTGTCTAATCACGCTTAGAAGAAAAAGCCCCTGTATAAATAGCTATCGGAATTAATTTGGCAGCAACTGTGAGAAATGATCATAAATTTACAAATACAGTTGGAGTAATGATCCAGCGTGGATTTAACAAGAAAAACACCCCCAACCTCTGGGAAGTAGCACGTGGGTTTCTGTGGCAGTCAAACACACTTAGTCACACTGGTACTGAGCTTAGAGGCTGGGAGTTGTCTGAGGAGGAAGCAGAGAGGTTAAGGCTCCTGGATTTGGGCAGGAAGAGGCAAAGAAGCAAAGGAGCTGGGCTGAGTGTGAACAGGACTATTTTGAGAGACCCTTCTGTTCTAATCATGTGCTGTTTGAGGGTGTGTGTGGGCGAATCCGAAAGATGTAGTGGTGTCTTCATCTACCAGTTTGGGCTCCTGGCACTTCTGGACATCAAGTGATAAAAGGCTCCTTTTTGCACTTAAGATGCAAGCAACGTAAGGGAATGCTGGAAAAATGTCACCTCATAAGACTTTGCTTGCGGGTGTGTTGATGAGGTTTACCTCAGCCACAAAGGTCTGATCTTGAAAAGCCTTAGGCACTGCAAGCAGTTTTGCACTGAAGCTGTGGGGACAGGTATAATGGGAAGCACGTTCCCCAGGCATCGCAAGAGGAAGGCCTGATAGCTAAGGATAAATGAGACCTCGCCTTTTTTCTTTATCCGTATGAAAAGGATCAAGATGTACAGTGAACAGTGAGTAGGCAAGTACACAGGGAGCCCCTGAAGGTGGCTGCAGAGCATTCCTGGATGCACACAGCAGCCTGTGCAAGCCGGGCTGCTTCCCACCACTGTCCCACCGACCCAGCAGCTGGTATCACTGACATCAATACTAGCCGCTGCCTGCAAGGATGGGGCAGTAAATGAAATGTCTTAATGAAAAGTCGTGTGGGAAGGAAAAGCACTCTGGCAGGTAAACAATTTTTTTCTCTAATGTATTACTGAACTTGCATTTTTCTCCTTTTTTTTTTATGTTATTTAATTATAGGGACCTTTGACTTCATGATGGGAGGAAACATCCCCCTGGCTGTAAGGATCCGAGCTTCTCCCAGCGTGAGGATTTGTCAAGGCTGAGAGACTTCGGATTATCCATAAACAGCTCTAAAACACACAGCTGCTTTTCTGTCTCCCCATCACGAGGGGTCTTGGAGGAAATACAGAGATGGCCTCCAGCCTCACCTGTGCCGGTGTTGTCTGGGCCTTCCTCTCCTTCCTCTGTGCCGCTGCCTCCTGCGTGGGTTTCTTCATGCCCTACTGGCTCCTGGGGTCTCAGCTGGAGAAATCGGTTTCATTCGGCACTTTCCGGAGGTGTTCCTACCCAGTGCGGGATGAGAGCCGCCAGACAACCGTGATGGTGGAGCAGTGCGGCCGCTATGCCTCCTTCCAGGCCATCCCGAGTGCCGAGTGGAGGATCTGCACGGTGGTGACGGGCCTGGGCTGTGGGCTGCTCCTCTTGGTGGCCCTCACAGCACTCATGGGCTGCTGTGTGTCCGAGCTCATCTCCAGGACCGTGGGCAGGGTGGCAGGAGGCATCCAGTTCCTGGGGGGTAAGTGCTCATGTGGGGAGGGGATGAGGGTGTCTGAAGACTCCACTGGTGCTTGGGGACAAGGAGGGGATGAGCCAAACTTTCTGCTGGTGAGTGAGGCCACTTGGCTCCCTTGGTGGTTGAGCTGGTTGTCTGGATGTGGCCCAAAGACACAGCCACCTTTGGTCACTCTCCTGTGCTCAAGTCCCTGCTTGGTCATTGTGCAGCCTTTGAGAGTTGCATGGCAAGTTGACTTCTGTGGGCTGTCATCTTCACAGTGGTTTTGTGGGCTGTAGTTTATAGCAGAGCTCTGCCAGGATGGCAGTACCTGGAGAAGCAATGGGACTGCAGAGCTCCATGGAGCATTATGGTTTTGGAGTGGAGAGGCTGTGTTATGTGGGAACATCTTTCTCCTTCCTACCCTATCCCTGGCAGAGCTCCCTCCACCTCTGCTGTCTGCATCTGCATAGATCTGACACAAGTCCGTGGCCAAGGTTTGAGGTGGGGGATTGCTTATCCCTGGTAGGGGTGTCCCACCGTCTCCCAGAAGGAGCCCTGCCAGGCTGCCTGACCCACGCTGCGCTCTGATGGTGCCGCAGGTTTGTTGAGTCCATAAGCGTGAGAGAATTGCCTCCTCTCCTTTTTTTAGCTTGTAATTGTACAGAGTATTTGTAACTGTGAAGTGTTTGAAGAGTATGAGACAATAAACAGGATCCTCGAGTGTGTTTTTTTATAGGGCAGTTTTCCCAGTAAATCATCACTCTCTTGTCATTGGTGACATGCGGCTCACTGGCACTCACTTTTGCCTGGTGCAAGTGCTCCACCGCCCCTGTGTGTTTGCTCCCATAAAGGGATGTGTTCCCTTGAGCTTTGGGTGCAGGTGCCAGTGTTCTGGGTGCCCTGCAGTGTCTGGTCCCAGCTAGGGACCCTGGCTCATGCCCTGCAGGAGCAGGCTACAGAGGGACCGAACAGAAACTTGCCCACAAGGGCAGTGTGGATACATCCCAAGTCTGCAGCCCCAAGGAAGCACAGGACAAAAACTCTGCTACTGTCCAGCTCAGGGCAGACAAATGAGGCAAGGAAAGGGCCCTGTGCCAAGCCTCCAGACAATGCCAGCACAGTTCAGTCCTGGCCACGGGCAGCTCTGCCTCCAACTTTTTGAGTAGTTTCTGCACTTCAGAGCAAGCCAACCCTATCATTTCACCCTTCCCTCAGCTTTGCAATGCACAGGCCTTCCTGTGTTTAATCTGTCTGACAATTAGAAGGTGCAACAGCTGCTAGAGAGTTAACTCTGCTGAGAGCTACAGCTTCTTGAAGCCTGCCCCATTATAGGATCCAGGCAGGCATCCAGGGGATGGAGGGGATTTTCTGTTTGGTGACACTCTGCAAGCCCACTCGGTCTAGCTATTTTCACTCAGAGCCATCACAGGCTTGTGCTATAACCACCCCCCTCTTTCCAGCTGCTGGCTTGGCTCATCTGGTTTAGAGTTTAGCTCCTTTCTCTCTGGTGGCAGTGCTCTCCTGCCTGCCCATGGAGCGGGACCGCCCGTGC